CAATGCTAAAAATGGTATTTAGCGGTGCATACATTTTGAATAAGCGTCTTCCTCACTTGTTCATTCGCCAACTCAATCAATGCCCAATTAGAATAATCAATCGAAAATTGACCATTTAATACATTTGAAGTTCTTCACGATTATTTTTGCACAGTCATCGTCATCTTAAGTAATTACTGTCAACTTGTAAAACCTCTCAGTAAAGCAGGGAGATAGAGGAGGTGGAGGAGGAGGGAAAGAGGAGACCTGCAGCTCAAATTACAACTGCTACAAATAACACAAACTTGCTACCACGTAGAGGCTTGAATGGGCTGTAAAATGATGGTTGCTTGATTGAATACTTGTTTCTGCCACACAGCCTCCGCAAAAGTGGTCTTACATATTCTGCCTCGAATGTGGGAGTCCAGTACTTGGCAAACCAGTGCATAGAGTATTCCGTTAATCTTCCTAACGCAAACTTAGGGGGCAATCATATTTAGATCTATATTTTCATAACTTCATAGAAACACACTTTCGCAAATGTAAAGAAACCAAGATGAAAAATTAAAATTCCGCCTATCAACGAGTAAAGGGTAAATAGCTAGATGATTTGCTAGCTTTGCTTAACAAAACTATCATATTGGCCAACATAGGCATGCAATTGACCAATCGATTATCGCATGACAAGTCTTCCCAATTTCACTTTTACATACGCAGCAATGAAGTGTCAACGAGGTCATGACTTCAAGCTTCTCTTTCCAAGAGCCCTATACTTTTCCCTCTTTTTTGGTCGTCCAATAAAGCACTCGCATTATTCCGACTTTGAAGAAGGCCGCTCAAACACGTTAGCCTTTTGGATCAAAGGTTTTTATGGCAATATCTCAAAACCCAACTCGGTCAGATCATAAAAATTGCTTTACTTTTCTTAACTTTTATGTTAGAGGTGGTATCTGAGCTTGTGTCCCCTGTTATGTGGGAGGATTGTTTGTCATCGTTTTAACAACACAATCACTCAGAGAAAATCAACACTTAATTCCCGTCTCGAGATAGTGGGCTTTAAGTTGGTTTATTTCACTCCAAATTTCCAATGAGGCATTGTGTGCAAATCACATTCAAATCTTCAGTATTAAGCCCCAAGTAAGTGTGGCCACGATTTTCTAACCCCATCACAACTGTTACAAAACACGATCAGTTCATTTGTACACAGGTATGATATGTTGAGATTGTGAAGCCATAATAAAAAAAAGCATATTACAAGTACCGTGGAATAGTAAGTGATGGCAATTACCCATAAAATCCATTATATAAAAATAATACTTGTATTCAAAAAACACACCTTTTGTTTCATAAACAAGATAAACCGCTTGCCATTTTATGACCAAACCTGAACTATGAAACTACGAATTTTAAAAGACTTACTATTCAATTACACATACCTTAACTTATAGAAAAATTTAAATAAGAATTTCGAGCTCGAAAAAAACGGGAAAAGTGCCATTACAATACTTCATCTCATGGATGAAAACCAACTCCAGGTTCAATGAATTTCAAATCCTCACTAAAACACATAATGGAAACTTGCCCTCATAACACTGGATATGCAAACAATGAGAGTGAAGAACGAAGGGGCGTGAAGAGATAGAATCTCGATGAAGAAGGCCATGTCATTCAGCAAATCAGCAAATATTCTACCAACAAACAATTTTCAGAAAATAACGCTACGAGTTACCTCCATTGTTTGCATTGGCTGTCCAAACTCGTGCTAAAAGAGCGTTCGATAAAGCAAGAAATAAGTAAATATACCCTTGCCAGCCTGCGAAAACGATTCGACCAACCATACCAACACCATCTAATCAATACGGGAGAACATATAAGAGGGAATAAAAGAAGAACACTTATAAATTATCCCCAAGTTACAAACCTTTAAATAGCCAGGTTAGAGTGGCAGCAAGAACACTTGCTGTGGAATCACCAACTCCAACACCAATAAGCACAGCCTGACCAGCCAGAGCGCCAATTATACTACTCGATAATGCCTAAATAACGAAGGATATTTACTATGTTTGTCTGTGATAACATCTGAAAGTTTTTCCAATAAAATACCTGCACTGAATCCCAAATTTGATATTCCAGATAATCTCCGCTGACAGAATTTGGATAGCCCTCGGGAAGAAAAGCAGATTTTGCCATGTAAAAAAGATTGTTTCTTTTCGGGTATTCACTTCTGTCGAATTTAGATCCTTTTGTACAAAACTCATATTTGGTGCAAAGATTTCCCCTGTAATTATCAAACACTGATATCTCACTAATAGAATCCAATTTATTTTCCCTAATGGATTCGATAGACATTGGAAAAAATTGATAATTGTAATGCAAGAGCACTGACAATATCTCGGCGTATTTTGTTCAATGAAAACAACTAAAATAGTTTCACATACGTCCCAAAATATACAACCAATCAAAGTCATTGAGAGGCAACGATTGGGTTAGTAAGTACAGCCTGCCCTTGAAATAATATTGAGTTACGCATCAATAATACTAAATAAAGGATCAATTGTGAAGAAAAAACAACTTAACTAACTTAGTTAATGCATGGAGGCACTGCGCATAATTAGAATTATTAAAAATGATAAACATAATCATATTATTAATAGGCCAAACAGTGAAATAATACGATAAAAAATACCCGAAATAATGAAAAAGGAATAAAAATAATGTATCTCCTGCACTTAAAAGCTGTATTTAAGAAATATTTGCTTATGAACTTATAGTGTTATTAAATATTCAGAAATTTGCTTAACAATTAAGCAATTTAATTACGACCCATTATAAAATATATCAGACTTTTGAAACAGGAATCGCGAGGAGCAACTGGAAACTGTCTTAAATAAGTAAACGATGCAGTACGGTTTTAAAATTCAATAGCCTATTTCAAAAGACTTAGAATTTTACAGATTTCGTTAAATATCTAAAAATACATTCTATCATATGTTTAGTGGCCTCGATAACAGCATTGATATTGTTTATCTACATAAATAATGTTTAAGTGAAGGTCGAGGAGGTAAAGAGCTCTGTCTATTTCCTTTACGCAGTTATTTTCCCACTCCGCTTTGGTCGTGTTCGTTATGCTTAACGTTTGGTCAACTATTTTCTCTAACAAGAGGAGGCTTCATTACATTTGCACAGGCATTATACACTCAATTTAATTTCCGTGAGTTAGTAACTTATCCCTAAGTGTTTATTTACCGCTATTTACATAATCTCACTCTCCATGCATTAGATTTAGAAGCCAAATCTAACTTTGTCATTTCTCCTCTAACCATTAACTCGGCTGTTTCCTTGGCACTTGCTGGAGCTGAATCGAATCTACAAAGGAACTTATTGCTGCATTTCGTGTCAAAGGAAACTTGGAACACAATACCTTGTGCAAATCATTTGGTGACAAACTAAAAGCTCTAAATGATGGTGATGAGATGAAAACACGGGTTCAGGCTAACAATGCCTTCATGCATAATAGTTGCAAATTGCTCGAGAGGCTTATTTGTGAGGCAAATCGCTACTGACAATATCAATAATATAATATACCAAACAATCAATGCTGACGGAATTTGGATATTCCTCGGAGAGAAACGCAGATCTTGCCAATTAAAATAGATGCTTTTTGGGGGTGGGGGGTTGGGGGTATTCAATTCTGTCAAATTTAGATCCTCATGAAAAAAACTCACATTAAGGACAAAATTTCCCCTGTAATTATCAAACACTGGTATGTCGCTAAAAGAATCCAATTTATTCTCCCTAATTCTGCGTATTTTTTGCAATGAAAATAACTAATACAACCTTACAGGCGCTTCGTTGTATAATACCTAACAAAGTCATTAAGAGGTATCAATTGAGCCAGAAGGCACAATGAGCCCTTGAACAATTATTAATAAACGTATTTTAACGCACCTAATAAAGATTAAATGTGATGAGAAGAAAATCTAGATTATGGTTCATCACATGCAGCACTTGTAATGAAATTCGAAAGTTGTGAATATCCAGAAGTGTGTAAATATTCAAAAGTTATTTTGCACAAATAACAATAAATTAATATTTATGTGATTTCAAAATTGGCCAAAACTAGGGATGAAATATTCTAGGAAAATCTGATAAGCTTTGTGTCAATATAGTAAGTAATAAATTTCCATGACACCTGTAGTAACAATCCAAAATATATAAAATCTATGAAATTTGTACATGCATTACAAGTAAGCACGGTTATGCAATTTTGAGGTGATAATTTTGAAATTGTTTGTCTAAGATTAGTCTAGGTTACTCCACTGATAATTACTCCCAATGGAGTTGAAGGAAAATTAAGTCAATTTTGCACAAACGAATTGCAATACATGAAGCACATGATTGACTTAAGATTTTTAACTAACATTTCTAAGAATGATAGATCATAATTATAATGACCACGAAATCATACATGCTATTAATATCTACATGGTATAAAAGGAGGCAAATGAGATAAGAAAGAGTTAAATTGGCAGAAATAATCAATATAACGCAATTGCAGTAATTTGAAGCTTAAGCTAAGTAGTATTTGCATAAATACTCATTTTTCATTGAATTTTTAGAAAGGTTATTTTAGTTTTAAGTGATATTCTATCATATCAAAATTGAACATTGTCAAAATGATTAACTGAAAAACTTTTCAGTGGGTACACGTTAGAATTTTTAGAAATTTATTACTATTGGTGCGAAAAGTATTAAAAATGCATTAATAAAACATCAGGTATCAACAAAATTATCGATTTAAATTATTTAATACAATTGTTTTAAGACATTTCCACTATGAAAATTTTGCGGTAAAGATGATAAATAGTGCCTTTTATAACAGCGATGCATTTGTTTATCGTAATCATCAATATTTAAGTAAAGGTCGTGGCGGTCCAAAGTTCTGATTATTTCCTTTACATCAGTCTTTACTAATTTGGTCATGTTTGGTAGGCTTGATCTTTTGTTAACTAATTTCTTTAGCTAAGGAAAGCTTCATTCCATTTACACAGGCTTTATACAGTCAATTCAGTTCATCGAGTGAGTAACATATCCTTAACTTTTTATTTGCCGCTTTTCTTTCATAATTTCACTCTCCATGAAATATCGTTTGCATTTGATTTAGAAGCCAAATCTAACTTTGTCATTTCTCCTCTGAGCATCTATTCGGCTGTGTCCTTGGTACTTGCTGGAGCTGAATCCGAATCTAAAAAGGAACTTATTGCTGCACTTCGTGTCAAAGGAAACTCGGATCACAATACCTTGTGCAAATCGATTGGTGACAATCTAAAAGCTCTTAATGATGGTGATGAGAAAAAAACACTGGTTCAGGCAAACGCTGCCTTCATGCATAATAGTTGCAAATTACTCGACACCTACTTACAAATAGTGAAAAAACATTTCGACGCAATGACAAAAGAAGTTAGTAGTGTTACTTTACTTTTACTTAAAAAATAGGTGGATTTTAACAAACCA